TCTTCCGTGTAGCCGAAGGAGCCGTGTCCATGCCTTGCGTCCCGCTGAGCACAAACGTAAACCGCGCCAGCTCGCTGTGTCCGGTTTTGCACCGGGGTAGTGGACAACTGCGTTCCCGCTGCCAGGGGATGGGCTTTGTTGGTTAAGGAAAGGCACGTCTGCCCTGCCTTTATGTAATTCGAATAATGCTTGGAGGAACGGGGCGGCAGGAAACTGCACGGGTGGTGAAAGGTCAGGGGAGCGCTTCGCAGTCTGGGGCCTCGTCTTCGGGAGCTGGACGGGGGACAGTCCCGGTGAAGCTGGGGCAGGTCTCTCCCGTTAGCAGGCGAAGGAAAACCCCAGGTTTCTTCAGGTCCGCCTCATGGGAAAACTGCAGCAACTCTTTGTCCTCTGGTGTACTGCAAGTAATAGTTGCGGAGGGAGGGGAGTTTGGAAGAGGGGCAGGTGGCAATTGTGGATCCATTACTGGTGATATCATGCTACCCCTCTGGGGGCTGGTGAAGTCACTAGAAAGAGGAAAGTTCCTGTCTGAAGGTCTCCAGTTTCCCTGTTGGCAGGTTACCCGGCAGCATTAGTATGAGAGAGCTGCCTCCCCCTTTGAAACGGCGAAAGACGTTATTCTGCTGGGTAAAAACAAATGCAGGCGACTGTGCTCAGCTCGGTCCGGGGAGAATTGCCCTAATGGCAGCTTAAAACCTGTAGGGAGCGAGTGTGGCACGAGCATTTCTAACCTGCAGCTCCGCTGCTGCAATTCGCTGGGACTGTTTTAAAGCTGCTTATGTCAACTCCGATTTGCAGCACTGTTTAGTGTAACCAGCGCTGGAGGGAACACGTTCTGCCCGAGAGGAGGAAAACTGTAAGCAAAAGTGTCGGAGCAGGCAGCGGGGCGCTGGAGCCAGCCGAAAGGGCCGGTGACTGGATCTCTCTAAGTATCTGCGATGTGATCTCGGCTCGGCAGCCTCACGGCGGATGACAGTGGAGCTGTGGGGGAAGGGGAGGGGAGGGTACGATGACCCTCCTATGAATGCAGGGTGGATTAGCAACTCGCCTGACCTTGAAATTTGTTAACGTGCTGAAATTAATCCATAAAGGAGCCTGCCTTTCTCCGAGTCTCATTGTAATGTAAGGAAGAAGCAGCAAACCTCCCTGCGGCATTTTGCTAATTTGTCTATTTATAGACCATGAAAGCGCGCGCGCCTGAGCCCCTCCAGCGTCTGAAGGTAGCTGTTTGTTAAACTACAGGAGCTGCAATTAAGTGATGCAGCGTGGCTGGGAAGATATCTCCTAGTGCTGGACTCTGACTGTGGTGCATGTCGGTGCCTCGGCCCTGTACGGTGGAAATAACTTAATGCTGGTAAAAGACTTGGGGCCTGATCCTGTTCTGCTTGCTAAGCATCTTGGTGCAATCACATTTCACCCTGTTGGAGTCTCTTAAAACAGTTAATGCATCTACTCCTGCCCGTCTTCGCCTCGGTGACATGGGAAGCAGCAACGAGGAGGAGGATGCAGCCACGCTTTGCATTGGCCACTGAGGCACTTAGTTGTGTGAAGGGCCAGGTCCTGCTCCGCGTGACGGCTCTGGAGGCCGTTGCTTCGCCGTGCTGCCCTGCGAGCGTGCTTTAAATATGACCTGCAGCAATTGCCTTTAGGCTTCAAAGGTAGCTGTTTCAGCTGCTGGCAGTCACCGATGTTCCTAGTGAGTCGGTTGTGATGGTGTCCCTCTCTTGGTGGCCTTACTTGTTATACGCCATGACCGCTGTGCCACCAGTGAGCTGCCTGGGAGCCCTGACAGCTGATTTTTCTTTTTTAAATCCGAGACCTAGAGGCAAGATACTGCTGCTTCTCAGACCCATAAATCTTGTTGGGACTGCGCCGCTAAGACCCATCCCTTGGTGACGCTATCAAGGCTGTCGTTTCGGTCGGCATGAGGAAGCTCCACGGTAATCTAGACGTCACGGTGGCCAAGAACTCCACGGGTGGAGGAGAGTTAAAACTTGTTCAGCCTCCGTGGGATGAAACGGGGTACTTAGTGGTACCTTAAATCTGTTGTGGCATCAACATAAATAGTGTAGTGCATAACTATACCGGATACTAAAACTTTTCACCGACTTTCCCCTGCTCTTGAACACGCTGCCTGGAAATGTTGACTTGCAAAGCACCGACTCTACCAGCATGGAGCAAATCTGTTTGTGGCCTAGCTTAGTCACAGGGCAAGCTATAGGGAAATGCCTCTTAACCATATATTGTCAGCAGGATGCTTTGTAATGATGCTGAAGAAATCTCTTGGCTTTTTACCGTAGTGCCTCTTGCAGTCGGATCCAGGTGTTTGACTCATTGAGCAGCAATAAGAGCCCTCTGGCACCTGGCTTTTTGTCCTGTATATTCAGTCTGTAATGCTGGTGAGAATAAATCCAGATGAGAAACTTGGGTCCCCTCTTGTGTGTTGGTTCCTGAAAAGGTCTCTGTGCTAGGTGCGGAGTAGTGAACCGCCTGCAGAGCTGCAATGAAACTGCTCCAGATTGCAAGGTTCTTCCTCTTAAATTAACTTCATTTATGAGCGTCCATGAACAGCTGGTCTAGAACAGTGAAGCAGATGTTAACTTCTAGGGGAAAATACCTAGGAGCTTCCATACTTCGAGCACGGGGTTGGACTAGATGACTTCCTGAGGTCCCTTCCAATCCTTGTTGTCTGTGATTCTGTACTGGATCAGCCTAGTGGTCTTCTGTTTGGTGTCTTGTCCAATATTTAAGGTGCAAGAAACCAGTACTTTGGGGTTAGGGAATAATCTACCTATGGGGGAATATTTCATCCCACGCTGCGTTAGAGATTGGCTAAAGCCATGGTGTCCTCTTCTCTGGAGCTCTTGGCTTGGGCTGTTGCTCCTAGAACTTGCCCTGCACCATGTCAATGGTAATAACACCTGACTCTTAGTGGCTGCCTGGGCAGTGTGGGCTTTGCTTCATCACTCTGGATCCTGTTGGTCCAAGATGTCCCTCTTAAATGGCTGCAACTCAGGAGAAGGAAATGAACTAGCTGGTTAGTATTTCTGTGGTCCGCCTCCTCCAAGCAGCACAAGATTCTTGAAATCCTCAGCTTCCCATGGACTGTTTTTTATATATAGCTTGCAGTAACAGATGCGTAATCAAAGGCTACCATGCCACTTTACTCTAAGGGATTTCTCTGATATTGCTCTACCTTGTACCCTATTCCAAACCTACTCTGTGTAACCAGACATTCAGGCTACACAGACTGCAGGGTGCTGGGGGGTGGCTTGAAATGGTTCTCCTGGGTTTAAAACCAGTTACTAGAGTGCCATGTAGTTTTAGCAATTACTCTAGTAACTGGTTTTAAGCCCAGGAGAACCATTTCAAGCCACCCCCAGCAGTCTGTGTAGCCTGAATGTCTTTGGGTTTATCTTCTGGCTACACTTTGAAAATTCAAGTATGTGCATTCATAAGAACGCTTGTAAATATTGCTTTTAATTTATTTCTAAATATTTTTATATTTTTGATATTTTTTTTCATACTTATTTCTTGCATGCATGCCAGCCCCTGGCTTCTTTACAATTCATTCCATCCAGGAAGAGCACACGCCAGCTGCAGATGTTTCCTCAGCCTGATGAGGGTATTTGCACCCAAAAGCTTGCAAAGAAGAATTTTTCCAACCATTTGAGTTGGTCTAATAAAAGATATCAGATTTACCCAAACGACCTTGTCTGCCCATGTCCTTAGACCACCACGGCTACAACCTAGACCCCTGTAAATATTGTTGCCTTTCATGTAGGGTTAGTAGACCGTTGCGGGAATCTTTCTAAGCACGACTGACCTAACTGCTTCTTGGAGCCAGTGGTCCTCTGTCAGTGGTACCTTTTAACATCCTTCCATAATAAAAGCAGTACAAGTATCCTTGGTTGTCTTGGGGCAGTCGGCTATCTGGCAGTGCATAACTGTCATGCTTATCTAATATTGTGGCATCGGCCCTGTCTTAGGTCGGTCTCTCCAAGAGGAAGAATTTGTCGTTTAAAATTGCAACCCGATTCACCACTTCAGGACTCCCGTTTGATAGAGCTGCGTTCTTTAGAGGAGAAGCAAACTGAAAACAGATGGGGGAGGAGGGGGAGCCAACATGTTAGTCTTGCCACCAATCTGCTTAGCTTGCAAATCGGTGATTAGTGCAAGGGACAGAAGGACTAGTAAATTCCTGGGAATACCAGATTGGCGAATGGCAGGCTTGCTTCCCATGTGTTACTAAATCCCACATCCTGTGCTAGACTGAGAAAAATGGTGGTTTATGGGTAAGTGGAAGGACCGCACTGGTTCCTATCTCACAAAAATATTGTCATGCCTTAAGTAATGGCAGCCATCTCCTAAATGAGGGACGGGTATCACCCATTTGAATGGCCATGTTGGGACTTTAAGGCATCCTAGTTTCACTTGGGTCTCTAGCATTTCTACAAGAATAATGTAGGAAGTGGCTTCTGACTGATCCCATGTTTGGGGATCTGCCAAGTGAAGATGCTGTTGAAATGCCGTGTATCTGTTGATAAATCTTCCAGCTCCTTCTTGGTAAATCGCAGAAAAGAACTGTGTGTCGGACCATCGCTGGTCTGACGCGTGAACTTTTCCTTGAGTTAACTGCCGAAAAATTATAGATGGGTGTATTTTATGAGCCTGCCATAACATTTTGTCTTCAAGAAAGCAGGATTTTTACTCTCTCCTGACAGGGGTTGAGTTTTCCAATCTCTGTTTTACTCTTTCTTGGCAGGGGTTGAGTTTTCCTATCTGTCTGGGGGGAAACGGAGCAAAGAAGCAGTGGGAAAACCACTAACCACAGGCATGAGACGAGTTAGGCGTGCGCTGTAGAACAACAGATTTTGCTCCCTTGTTTAAAGTGCATGCATTGTATTCATTTATAGCCAAAGGCAGATGGACAGTGCAAAGGGAAACCCTCCATGTAAAATGCAGCGTCTAACTTGTTCAGGGTCACGTTGCAGGGTGGCGCGTGAGATGGGAAGAGACCCCAGGTGTCCTGGCTGCTTAGGTCCAGGATTATGTCCCTGGGATGATGCAGACACAGTAGGGATGCTCCTTTACTGAGGGGGGGGGAGGGTGGAAAAGCACTTCTTTAGGCAAAGCCACCGATAAGTGGAAAAGAGGTGCGTCAGTTGTGCTGAAAAAAGTTAGTAAAGGATAGCAGAGAGTGATTCGTAAGGCTTAGATGCTAGAACATCTTGCCTTGCTTTTTTAAAAAAAATTTTTTTTTTAATGTGACTTACCTGTTTGTGTGTGTCCCCCTCTCTCTCTAGGTGTAATTGCTGAGGCTGTTCAGGATGGCTTTACGCTTCCGCAGGTTCTTGCCTTACGCCTTGCCTGGAGTGCTGGCGCTGATCGGATGGTGGTGGTTCTTTTCTCGTAAAAAGGAGCGTGAAAGCAATCATGATAGGCAAGTCTTGGTCGGCGTGGAAGAGCAGAGGATCAAACCCCCCAAAAAGGAGCCTTCATCAGGAGAGGAACCAAATGTCCTCAGGGTGCTTCCTGTGCTGGCGGCAGAGGGCCGCCCAGAGAATGAAACCTTTCCTCCCAAGCCATTGTTGGGGTCAGCGACTCCTCCTCCTCTCTCGCTTCAAACTCTCGAGGGGTCAGATTCGTCCGAGAACCTTCCTGCCACAGCAATGACGGCCGTTGAACTCAACACGTTGGATGACGACAGTGACAAACTGGAAAGAGCGGTGTCTCGGGAGCAAAGCGGGTCCCCTGCACAGGTATCTCCCCCTCTAGTCCTGGAGAGCGTTGAGTCGACTTCCAGTGCAACTCTCGGCCAGCAGCCACTGGTGTGTCCAGCATTGGAGTCGGCTCAAGAGCCTTTTGGAAAGATTGGGGGACTGGGTGAAGTGGAAACGACTTGTGATTCTTTGAAGAGGCCGCCCCGGGAAACCCAGTGCCCAGAAACTATGTCTGTGGACCCCAGCCTTTCACCAGCCCCCTGCCCAGAGCCGGGCAAGGAAGCTGATTCCCAGCCTATCACTCCTGATGAAGAGGATCAGAGGGAGGTTGAAGGAGTTGATTTAGAGCAAAGAGAGTCTGAAGTTGGGATGTTCCCGAATAGCTGTGCGGAGTCTGTCTGCTCGGAGCCATCCGGGAAAGAGATGTCTGAGTCGACTGGCAGTACTGTACCTAAGTGTCAGGGAAGGGAAGACCAGCACTCCCTGTATACACAGTTGAAAGGAGATGGTTTGCAAAAAGGGTTGAAAGGAGATGGTTTGCAAAAAGAGAGAACTGGAGGAGTGAGTTTGGACAAAGATGAAGTTGAAAAAATTGAGCAAGTTGCTATACAGATTATTTCTAAGGTCATCTTAGCGGCCACTGGGGAAGTGCTGTCTGGGTCGGTAAGTGATGTGTCCAGTAGGCTTTGTCAGGTTGCAGCCAGTCACGCTGATAGACCTCAGGAGAGAGCAAGCACCGTGCCGTTGGATCCAACACCTGCGGCAGAGCCCAGCAGAGAGAGCGAGGCTGCCGCTGCCCAGAGCATCACCGCAATACCCGCACCTGGAGCAGAAGAGAAACTCGACAGTTGCATGACTTTCTCCAGCTACTTGACACATGGTTGCTTATCTCACCCTGTTCAGGTAGACCCGAAAGACCCTCAACCAAAGAGGTCTGCACATGGCGAGGTCCCAGGAGCCCGTCGGACTTTGGTCGCAAAATGCCAAGCGTCATTGGAGGAGTCGCCTCCGGTGATGGAGGACTCTGGGTGCAGTGCGTGCACGTCGGAAGATGGGATGAGCATGGAGGATCCGTTGCAGAGCACCTCCTTGTCTCTCCTGGCAGGCCAGCATACGGACTCGCTGAGCACGTCTGCCATCCAGGATACTTCCATCGAGCAGAGCTTGGTGCCCAGTGAGAAGCCTGCCACCCCCAAGTTACCAGAAGATGACAAAGTGCCATATAGTAATGGGATGTTGAAAGAGGACAGTCCGGATCTGAGACACGAGAGGAACTGGACCACGGAGACGGATGCAGACCACTCGGGAGGTAAGGGCTTGGGGTGTGTGGGAGACCCCTGGGGAAGTATACTGCATATACTGTGCATGGCCTCTGTGCTGGCACCCCAGCCTGCATCGCTGTGTAATGGGCCTGTTTTGCGGCTGGCTTCCCCCAATAATGAAAAGCTCTAGAGGTTTATACATAGATGCACCTTACGTTTAGACGAATGTAAGTACCCATCACTTGCTGCCAGCTTTTACACCCATGGTGATGAGTGCTCCAGAGAAAAACCTTGGCTAGCTGGCATCCGCTGGCCACCTGCCAGCCAAACACTTGTGCACATGGTCTGCTTCATCAGGTCTAGGATCCTCAGCAGGACCGAGCCCCCAGAGCACAGAGCCTTTGGCTTACCCCATAAGCTTTTAGGTTCTTGTCCTCTGTGTAGATAGTGAGCTATAATGGTGCAGCCTTTGGGAACAGGGCATGTGCCGAGACTCCCTGCTTGGCAGTGTCCGTGGCTAGTGTCTTTTGGCTTACAGATGTTCCTTCCCTGGCACGTGTAG